TGGGGTTAGGTTTCGGGTGAGGGATTGGGGTTAGGTTTCGGGTGAGGGGTTAGGGATAGGGGCGGTAGGGGCGGGGATATTAGCTGGCTAATAACACGGCAGTTTCCATATAGCTGACTTTCCCCGGATGTTACTTACCTCAGCTGTGACTTTCCTCCAGCTGATTTGTATTGCCCATTTTCTTTGTCATATGCGGGACCACGTTAATGTTTATAATACATGTTTATGTTTTAATTACAGACTGCCTTAAATTAGCGTCCGTCCCGGGAAGGCTCCGAGTGGGCGAGGGCAAGTCCCCAGTCACAGAAAACGGTCGCAGGAGCATGGAACATAAACGACCATTTTTATATTTGTTAGTGTCGCGCATTAGGACTAAGCTAATGCAAGTTACTAGTCTAATACATAACAGTAGCATAACGGGGATGAGACACTAAAATAGCGTGCAGGCTGGTCAGTTGCTCTCTACGAGCTCACACCGTTTTCTCTCATCTCTACCGTGTCGCGTGTGGGACTCAAGTAACCTCATATACACAAGAGAAATGCTTTACGCTAAGCTGACCGATCACAGTTCTGTGTCATACAAGACATTTACAACAGAGTTATACACAACAATCAAAATTCTTAACATTTGTACGATGGGTGATATAAGCGAGTCGCGTTACGTCCACTTAAAACGCCAGATTCACGAGCAGTTACGTAAGTACTTACGAACGTGTACATCTTTCCTCAATCTTTGATGGCTTTGGTTACATTTATTAAACAGTTAACAAGCATGGAAACTAACCAATCAACTGTTGTTATTGTTATAAACAGCCTCCTGGTGCTACGGAGCTCATTAACTGTTTAATAATTGTAAACAAGGCCGCCAAAGATTGAGAAAAGATGTACAGGTTCGTAAGTGCTTGTGTACCCTCCAGGCTTGCTGTACCTCGGCCCCTCCAGGCTTGTTGTACCTCGGCCCCTCCAGGCTTGCTGTACCTCGGCCCCTCCAGGCTTGCTGTACCTCGGCCCCTCCAGGCTTGCTGTACCTCGGCCCCTCCAGGCTTGCTGTACCTCGGCCCCTCCAGGCTTGCTGTACCTCGGCCCCTCCAGGCTTGCTGTACCTCGGCCCCTCCAGGCTTGCTGTACCTCGGCCCCTCCAGGCTTGCTGTACCTCGGCCCCTCCAGGCTTGCTGTACCTCGGCCCCTCCAGGCTTGCTGTACCTCGGCCCCTCCAGGCTTGCTGTACCTCGGCCCCTCCAGGCTTGCTGTACCTCGGCCCCACCACCAGTAGTGGCCAGAGATATCCAAAATAGATATCTGTGTAAACTCAGTACAGTACAGCTGTGTTAGTGGTACAGAGTGTACTCCTGAAGTTGTCACACTGCTGACCAAACTCCGAACAATGGACAGATTTAGTGATGTAGTGTTACTTCACCCTCCAGATGGTAGAAGATATTTGCCAAGATTAGAGAATATCCACAAGAAATTAATAAGAAGTCACAATACTGTTGTGTTTAATGACATGTGTATTAAAGAAGACCTGCTCCCAAAATATACTATTTTATATATATATATATATATATATATATATATATATATATATATATATATATATATATATATATATATATATATATATATATATATATATATATATATATATATATATATATATATATATATATATGCGAACAAGCCTGAACGGTCTCCAGGCATATATGCAACTGAAAACTCACACCCCAGAAGTGACTCGAACCCATACTGCCAGAAGCATTCTGCAACTGATGTACAGGATCCCTTAACCACTCGACCAACACGACCGGACAAAAGAGGATGGTAGCCGAGGCTAAATCCCCGTCCTCCCGCCGGCACTCTGATGGTAATCTTGGGCATGTATTTTATCAAATCACCTCATTCTTTGGGGCACACGTGAGAAACACAAATGCGAACAAGCCTGAACGGTCTTCAGGCATATATGCAACTGAAGTGATTTGATAAAATACCATGCCCAAGATTACCCATCAGTAATGGTAGCCGAATTAGCCTCGGCTACCATCCTCTTTTTGTCAGACACACATGCAACCAATGACACTCACTCCATTTTCTAGATATGGATATTACTTACCTGATGGGGTCAGTTGTTGACTCTTTACTACATTCGTTTATATTCAGCGTAATATCGAGACACATGTTATCTGCAGGGATGCACTATGTCAACAATCCTGCTAGTGTTAAGGTAGAAACTCAGATTTTCATGGAATATAAACAGGAACACAAAATACATGTTTACATTTTATCATTCGATCTTTTTGTAAATTTAGCCGGGCCAGATTATAAGCTTAGATCTGTAGTGGGGAAGCTCGGTCACGCCTCTTTAAGGAGCTCCTTTATTTGTGACTCACGTAGCACAACTCTGTGGCTACGAATGACCCGGAGCTCAACATTTTGCGAGACAAAGTGAATTGGCACTAATAGACACTGACACGGACCGTTTGGCCCTTTGATCTCTTGGTGGATCTACCCCTAAAGCCCCCCGACTCCCCGAAAAACAGCTTGTGCGACTCAGTTACTCACGGTTCCATCAAAGTTTCAAGAGAGATCCAGGCACAATTGTAAGAATGTTGTTACTGAGATTTTGCATCCACTAGATAACAAGATGATGTTACTAGTTATAAACCCTGGCAGTGGGGTTGTGTGGTATACCAAACCGTGGGGGGGGGGGGTATACCAAACCACGATAGACAGGAGGCTGCCGAGATATGCAGGAAATGAAGCACAAAGATCAAAATGGCGTTGACAAGCTTGGAGGAAGGCATCTTCCGCTTGAGATTGGAGGCGACGTTTGCCGACTCTCGCTACAGCGAGCGAGGTCTGGAAAGTTTCCCCGACTCTCGCTACAGCGAGCGAGGTCTGGAAAGTTTCCCCGACTCTCGCTACAGCGAGCGAGGTCTGGAAAGTTTCCCCGACTCTCGCTACAGCGAGCGTTCGTAAATTCTGAATAACAGAAGTAGAACTTTTCGACAAATAATTGTAAAAATACCCCCCCCCCCCAATAAAAAAAAGCTCACAGCATTTTGGGCATTGAATACAAAATAAAATTGAGGGGTACAGCAGACAACATGGCCGATGGTTCCTTGCAAGCACACCTAACTCTTCTATTCATACCCCTTCGTCAGCCTACAGGGGGGGGGGGGGGGTTTGGTTCCGGGTTAGGGTCGTAGGCCTATACACTTCCGGAGGGTTATTAAGGCCACCGCAATAGCTTACTGACCAAACAGCAAGTATATTTTGAACTCATGCCAGGACGACAGTGTAAACGAAATGTTATTGTTGTGTTGATTTAGGGGCGACGACGATCGTGGGATTGGATGCGCCCCGGCTGCCCGATACCGGGAAATAGCGGAGGGATCGGGTCCCTATAGTCTCTTCAGGCCATAGACCCTACAAACTCCTCAGGCCACAAATTTTACAGTCTCTTCAGGCCACGGACATGACGGATGAAGCGGAAAACGCAATGTTGACACTCCGAGAAGCTAGGTACACCTCTCAGTGTTCGTGTCCCTGAATACTGCGTTCGTCTGCCTGCTCTTAGACATATCCCACTAATGTCCAGGAGCAAGGATAACTATGGCAACTGGTATCTAGGACAGCGTGTAAATATAGCAACTGGTATCTAGGACAGCGTGTAAATATGGCAACTGGTATCTAGGACAGCGTGTAAATATGGCAACTGGTATCTAGGACAGCGTGTAAATATGGCAACTGGTATCTAGGACAGCGTGTAAATATGGCAACTGGTATCTAGGACAGCGTGTAAATATGGCAACAGGTATCTAGGACAGCGTGTAAATATGGCAACTGGTATCTAGGACAGCGTGTAAATATGGCAACTGGTATCTAGGACAGCGTGTAAATATGGCAACTGGTATCTAGGACAGCGTGTAAATATGGCAACTGGTATCTAGGACAGCGTGTAAATATGGCAACTGGTATCTAGGACAGCGTGTAAATATGGCAACTGGTATCTAGGACAGCGTGTAAATATGGCAACAGGTATCTAGGACAGCGTGTAAATATGGCAACAGGTATCTAGGACAGCGTGTAAATATGGCAACTGGTATCTAGGACAGCGTGTAAATATGGCAACTGGTATCTAGGACAGCGTGTAAATATGGCAACTGGTATCTAGGACAGCGTGTAAATATGGCAACTGGTATCTAGGACAGCGTGTAAACATGGCAACTGGTATCTAGGACAGCGTGTAAATATGGCAACTGGTATCTAGGACAGCGTGTAAATATGGCAACTGGTATCTAGGACAGCGTGTAAATATGGCAACTGGTATCTAGGACAGCGTGTAAACGAAGCAACTGGAATCTAGGAGAGAGGGTAATTATGGCAAAATATATCCATGAGCGACAATAACTATGGCAACAGGTATCCAGGAACGAGGGTAATTATGGCAATATATCTATGAACGAGGGTAATTATGGCAATATATCTATGAACGAGGGTAACTATGGCATAATATATTAACGAGCGAGTATAACTTCTTAACAGGTGTCCATGAAGACGACGGTTATCTTGAGGTTATCTTGATATGATTTCGGGGCTTTAGTGTCCCCCGCTGCCCGGTCCTCGACCAGGCCTCCACCCCTAGGAAGCAGCCCGTGAAAGCTGACTAACTCCCAGGTACCCATGTACTGCTAGGTAACAGGGGCATCAGGGTGAAAGAAACATTTTGCCCATTTGTCTCCGCCTCCACCGGGGATCGAACCCGGAACCTCAGTACTACGAATCCGAAGCGCTGTCCACCTAGCTGTCAGGCGCCCTAGACGGTAACTGACATTATTACTTTCAATGTTACAGTTAAATAGAGTATGATAAAATATACCCACAAGAACAAGACATAACTATATTAACATACTTGCCTACGAAAATATCACTATCGGTCTCCAAATAACAGAGCAACAGAAAATGGGGTCGCACGGGGGGCCACTTTTCTAAGATGTACTCACGTGAAAAGCGGAGTCGTAGCTTATCTTGGCGATGGCCATCTTCTTGGCAGCGCCGGATCCCCAACAGCAGCGGTCGGCCACGTGGGCCAAGAGTGCAGCCCGGGCCTGGTGGTCCGTGATCTGCGGCCCAGGAGGCAGGGGGCCGCGGGTCTCGGTGCGATCACGGTCTTCTTCGACGCCGCCATTTGGAGGCGGCACTGACACTGCCGAAGAGAAGAAAACTTTCATTGTGGAAGGTAACATTATCGTTGAGGGATTTTGGAGGGGGGATGATAATGAGGTGGAAAGACAATGGCGGTGGTAAGGTCATCCTTGCGGTTATAGGAAGTCACAGTGTTACGACAGAGGGTCACGGATAGTGTAAATAAGACGTGTCACTACAGGGGGTTGCGTGACTACAGTGTGGGGCTGCGCACACGCACGGGGGGGACAGATGTGGTTAATCGTGCCACCACTCTACACACACGCGCTCTCACGAACATTTCAGTAGTTGTCATGCTCTACGCTAATCTCATGCATAAGCTGTACCAAATGGACGATTAATTTAGCGTTTACGATACGCCATCACTAGACCCTGCTTACCACCTTTTAACGCAAAAAACTGCTCTTTATCGTCACATGTTATCTTTAATAATGTGGGCACTGTGAGTAAAAATGAGATACGTTTTGGAATGGTGGTGAGTGCAGAGAATTTAATGGCTCTACTAGGAACGTGTATCCAAGAAGGCGCGCATGCACACCAGCGCACGCACGCACACATACAAGAACACATCAACACACAGGGTTCGGATGTGTTGGTGTGTTCTCCACTCTAAACACAACCTGGAGATACAACATTATCGAAAGCAGTCTAAACTCTTCGAGTACACTCACTGTTCACATCGTAGAGGTCATTCTCGCACACAGGGTAGTTCTTGAGGTGAAGCGACGAAGCAACAAGGTCAAGGTCACAGAGCAGGTGCTGAAAGGTAGGCAAGTAAGGGTCGAGGACGGAGGGCCGCGAGCGGGGCGATCTGCTCGAGTCCGACTCGAGACGGTCCTTCTCTCTGCGGCTGGAGCGCTGCAACCGGTTGGTGCCCCGCATCCCGCGCCAGTTGATGATGGTCCCTGACCCGTCCTGCACCGCCGACAGCCCGAGACTTGGGTAATTCTCGATGAGTTCGAAGGTGAACTCACCGCCGGCTTCGGCCCTGAGTGGTCCGGCGATGCGGCCGCCGCGCTGGTCTAGCAGGAGGACGCGGCGCGGCGGCGGCGGCGGACCGTTATTAGAGGTGCTGCAGGCGGCCGTCGTGGTCGTGGTTGTCGCCAAGTGGACGCGTACCACTTCCTCCTGATGCAACACCCGCCCATTCATGGCCGCCCCCCGCCCCTGAGCCGCCCAGCCGGTGTGGGCGAGCAGGTCCGGGGCCCCTGGGGGCGGCCGGGGGGTGTCCCTGGGGCCCGTGCCTAGGGGCCCTCACACCCACGCGTCCTGTGACGACACGCGGTTCAGTTCATGTCCGGGATGCACTAGTCACCGCGGCGGCGACCATGGCTCCCGGGTTGGTTCCGGGGCAATGCACCACGAGCACGACATGCCGCTCCTACAGCCCGGGTCTCACACGACGGCCACGACCTGTTCACCGCGCGTGGCAGCACTGGCTCACCATCACACGCGCTACCACTGCCTCACCATCACACAGAGCCTGTCTCACCATCAGCCGGGGTCCCGCCCTGCGGTGACACTGCACGCCCAGGGCTGCTACGTGCTGCCCAGCGCCCGTACACACACCACACCTTCCCGTGCCCTCCACCACCCGCCTCTCAACTCGCCACTCTTGCCCCTCACTTCGCACCTCTCGCTCACCACACTGCGCCACTCGCCCCTCACTCCTCACCTTCCTCGCCGTTATCTTCTTCATTCACGCCATGTTTAGCCTATTAGTGTGGGCGTGGGGCGAGGGCGCTCTTCTTGACGAGGCGGCGCGGGTGTGGGCATGGGGGGGCGGGGTGTGAGGCTCTCCGGCACTGAGGAAAGAAGCAAGTGAGGTAGGGGCAGGTGGTGGGGTAAGGGCAAGTCGCAGCGTAACGTTCCTCACTTTCCAGTTAGCTGCTGAAGTAGAAGCAGCAGGAGCAGTAGTAGAGGCGAGTGCCATAGGCAACACTAGCACACAGCTCACACAACACAGTCACATAAGGTGTCCTTGGGGTGTAACACACATCGTCACTGTCTTCTCCTACTCAACACACATCCTCTGTAATAAGCAAAGTCTCCTATAACGGGTGGCCTAAGACATGAAGCTTGAACACGCGAAGCCATTTACGGCAACAGCTTAAAGCTTACATGATTACATGGTTGTAAGCTGTAGATTACATCAGTAATGGTAAGCTGAGGCGCTTACCTTGGCTAGTTGTGGCTTATGCAGTCTATTGGGCTGTTAACGGGTCTCTCAGTGTTGATTAACAGCCTGTGACGTAATAACGCTGTGACGTCACAACTCTACTACGCCTTACTGCCCAGTATGACGTCACATACACAGTTACTGTGAATGAAATACGGAGAACCCTGTGGAGCAGTGGTTAGCACACTCGCCTCAACCATTGGACGACCCGGGTTCAACCCCCAGAAGTGGTGGTACAGCACATAGTTCCCCCTAACCTAAATGAACTGTATCACCCCAGACTGCCATCACCCCCCAGACTGCCATCACCCCCCAGACTGCCATCACCCCCCAGACTGCCATCATCCCCAGACTGCCATCACCCCCAGACTGCCATCACCTCCCAGACTGCCATCACCTCCCAGACTGCCATCACCTCCCAGACTGCCATCACCCCCCAGACTGCCATCACCCCCCAGACTGCCATCACCCCCCAGACTGCCATCACCCCCCAGACTGCCATCACCCCCCAGACTGCCATCACCCCCCAGACTGTCATCACCCCCAGACTGCCATCACCCCCAGACTGCCATCACCCCCAGACTGCCATCACCCCCAGACTGCCATCACCTCCCAGACTGCCATCACCTCCCAGACTGCCATCACCTCCCTGACTGCCATCACCCCCAGACTGCCATCACCCTCCAGACTGCCATCACCCCCAGACTGCCATCACCTCCAGACTGCCATCACCCCCCAGACTGCCATCACCTCCCAGACTGCCATCACCTCCCAGACTGCCATCACCCCCCAGACTGCCATCACCTCCCAGACTGCCATCACCTCCCAGACTGCCATCACCCCCAGACTGCCATCACCCTCCAGACTGCCATCACCCCCAGACTGCCATCACCTCCCTGACTGCCATCACCCCCAGACTGCCATCACCCTCCAGACTGCCATCACCCCCCAGACTGCCATCACCCCCCAGACTGCCATCACCCCCAGACTGCCATCACCCCCAGACTGCCATCAACCCCCAGACTGCCATCACCCCCCAGACTGCCATCACCCCCAGACTGCCATCAACCCCCAGACTGCCATCACCCCCAGACTGCCATCACCCCCAGACTGCCATCACCCCCAGACTGCCATCACCCCCCAGACTGCCATCACCCCCAGACTGCCATCACCCCCAGACTGCCATCACCCCCCAGACTGCCATCACCCCCCAGACTGCCATCACCCCCCAGACTGCCATCACCCCCAGACTGCCATCACCCCCAGACTGCCATCACCCCCAGACTGCCATCACCCCCAGACTGCCATCACCCCCAGACTGCCATCACCCCCCAGACTGCCATCACCCCCAGACTGCCATCACCCCCCAGACTGCCATCACCCCCCAGACTGCCATCACCCCCAGACTGCCATCACCCCCAGACTGCCATCACCCCCAGACTGCCATCACCCCCAGACTGCCATCACCCCCAGACTGCCATCACCCCCAGACTGCCATCACCCCCAGACTGCCATCACCCCCAGACTGCCATCACCCCCAGACTGCCATCACCCCCAGACTGCCATCACCCCTAGACTGCCATCACCCCCAGACTGCCATCACCCCCAGACTGCCATCACCCCCAGACTGCCATCACCTCCCAGACTGCCATCACCCCCAGACTGCCATCACCTCCCAGACTGCCATCACCTCCCTGACTGCCATCACCCCCAAGACTGCCATCACCTCCCTGACTGCCATCACCCCCAGACTGCCATCACCTCCCAGACTGCCATCACCTCCCTGACTGCCATCACCTCCCTGACTGCCATCACCCCCCAGACTGCCATCACCCCCCAGACTGCCATCACCCCCCAGACTGCCATCACCCCCCAGACTGCCATCACCCCCAGACTGCCATCACCCCCCAGACTGCCATCACCCCCAGACTGCCATCACCCCCCAGACTGCCATCACCCCCCAGACTGCCATCACCCCCAGACTGCCATCACCCCCAGACTGCCATCACCCCCCAGACTGCCATCACCCCCCAGACTGCCATCACCTCCAGACTGCCATCACCCCCCAGACTGCCATCACCTCCAGACTGCCATCACCCCCAGACTGCCATCACCCCCAGACTGCCATCACCCCCAGACTGGTTCTTGACATAATTGGTAATATTATAAGGTGAACCTGGCAACAGCCAACAGGTAATTTCATAAAGTTTCCTCTCGTTAACGGAACAAAAACTTTGTAAATAACAATATAAATTGAACAAAATCCAAATCTCTCTTGATAACCGAGAATATTATAACAATAACTGAGGAACACCGCAGATGACCGTTTGTAAAGATTTTGAATTGGAATTTGACTAGGCAGGTTCCGTTATTAATCTACTACCTCAATTTCCTATCCAATCTGTTATTGAAATCTTTTGAACTGCTTGTCTCACTAACGTAAGTTGACAGCCCATTCTATTCCATATCAACCACACTTTACATCATTGGTAATTTCATCAAGTTGTTTACAATGCCTTGCTCGACAGGACAAAATCAAGCCTGTTCTAAGGCCGGGTTTGTGGAGTAGAAGAATTCCCAGAACCCCATTCAGGTACCATCAGGTATATCAGGTACCAGGTAGGCCCGGAAAGCCGGCTCCTGTGCCTATCAGCAGACTTCGTACTCACTATGCACCTATCCCACCCCACAGAGTAACTGCACAGTGGAGAGAGTCTGCTCTTCTCTTGCCCAAGGAGCACTGCTGGATTATAACAACATTACGCTATACAAAGCGAACCACAACTAAATAAAAGAAACTAATAGCATAAAACCTACAAGGTGACCCTGCCACCTGGAGCTAACGTCGCCAGGGTACGAAAGGCCTTCATAAATGCCACAAATTTTGATGTAGTGTGGTTGGATAGTTGTGATTTTGTGTACAGAGTTGCGTTACAACGTATGAGAAGTCAATCCCACATGGAAAAATCAGAATGTTTTGACAAAAAAATCAGAATGTTTTTACAGAAAAAAAAAAATCAGAATATTTTGAAAAAAAAATCAGAATGTTCTGACAGAAAAAATCAGAATGTTTTGACAGAAAAAACCCAGAATGATTTGACAGAACAAAAATTAGAATGTTTTGACAGAAAAAATCTGAATGTTTTGACAGAAAAAAATCAATATGTTTTACAGGTGAGAATGAGTGTGTAGTGTTTCCCCACTGGAGGCAACACCCGGCCTTAGTCTCCAGGCAACACAACCCTCCAAAACATTCCTTTTCGCAAACCCTGCAAGAAATTCTCCAAGAAATACCGAATCTTCGAAACTCTGAAATTGACTTAAGACGTGTTACAGTTCTCTTAACACGGTGAAGAGAACGGTTGCTTAACACCATTGCTGTAGAAGCTATTAAACCAAATGAATGACTTTATTAGTCAATCAATACGATCAATTAGTCAAAGCAATTAATATAATAGATGAAATAGGGATGAGTTAAAATTGAACCATGGTTGTTGTTGGTTAAAATGGTTGCTCTTGAGGAAAGAGCGGGGGTTGCTCTTGAGGAAAGAGCGGTGGTTGTTCTTGAGGAAAGAGCGGGGGTTGCTCTTGAGGAAAGAGCGGGGGTTGTTCTTGAGGAAAGAGCGGGGGTTGCTCTTGAGGTATCAGTAAGCAACTCCCGTCTTGAGCACACTCTAGAGTACAGGTGGTCAGGTAACTTCCCATTATACTCTGTGTTTGAACTTGAGAGAGGTTTACGCCAGGAGCTTTGATCCCCAGCTGGCTCAGGGGGGCAGCTGGCTCAGGGGGGCAGCTGGCTCAAGGGGCAGACGGCTCAAGGGCAGCTGGCTCATGCACTTTATCATATGTCTTTAAAAAAATATATATCTTCATTTCCGTGGCCACCCATCTTCCCGGGACGATCTCAATCTCTCGGTCTCTCTCTCTCTCTCTCTCTCTCTCTCTCTCTCTCTCTCTCTCTCTCCTCAATCTTCCCAGCCTGGCATCTCTGGTTTCCCATCTCCCAAGTTCGGAAGTTATCTCCTCTCCCCTACCCACCTCTGCCCTCTCACCTAATGTGTCGCATTTTTTACGAAAGCGATAAAATTCGTTATAAAAGCAAGGTATTAGTTAATAACATTTCAGTACCGTAATATTGTCGTTATCCATGCCTCGGCTTGTATAGTTCCGGTGGGTTGTATGGGTTGGTACGTGTCTGGGTAGGCAATACGGCTGCATTTTACGGGGTGACAAATCCAGAGACCGGACAAAGATTCACGAAGCAGTTACGCAAGTACCCCATCTCCCTCCCTGGCCACCTGTCCCATCTCCCTCCCTGGCCGCGGATCAACTTGTCACAAATTCTCACAACACTTCAACATCATCCCCTGTGTCTTTTGATTAAAACCTGTTGCACGTACAAATAATTGTCTCAGGAGATGAACGCCAATGTTCAAGTGAACAACGCAGCTGTGATGAGAAGCAGCTGGAGGTGAAGACGTGGAGTGTCGAGGGCGGGGCGAGGGTGACCCATTTAAGATGACCCTGGACACTCTTGAGAACCGTAAACACATTGGGGTGAGGGGCGCTGTGGCGGGGGTCAGACGACAGTGACTGACACACACTGGCAGTATACATATATATACACAAACGGTATATATATACACACTGCCATCCATCACAGGCTGGGCCAACCATCAAAACTTGGCTCCTGTAAAACTGACTCAATTCCTTGCTTCCATAAATCATCACTTTTAAGATGAACCTCTTTATCCGGAAGATGCTGCAGGGGGTGGAGTGAGTGATGAGGGAGGTGGAGAGGGGTGAGGGGGGGGGGGAGGTAGAGAGAGGTGAGGCGGGGAGAGAGGTGAGGCGGGGAGAGGGGCGAGATGTAGGGAGAGGGTGTAGGATGGAAGGAGTAAAGAGTGGAGAGAAGAATAGCAAATGGTGATAAACTGAGACCTCGAAAACGATTATTATACCAATGCTAATCACACACACACACACAAACACAGTTTGGTCGGTTGAGAGGCGGGCCGAAAGAGCCGAGACTCAACCCCCGCAAGCACAACTAGGCGAGAACACACACCCACAAAGAAACCGAAGACACAGAGGAAGCCTCCCACATGATCGCATTATTTTCGAAAAGAGTTACCCAAATTACCCTTCTACAGGGCACAAAATCTCAACCAATAACATTCCAATTCAATCCTCCCTATGGTCCCAATGGGTGCGGTACCAGTGGGACACCCGGGCTGGTTGTCCACTCCACCAGTAGGACACCCGGGCTGGTCGTCCACTCCACCAGTGAGGGACACCCGGGCTGGTCGTCCACTCCACCAGTAGGACACCCGGGTGGTCGTCCACTCCACCAGTGGGACACCCGGGTGGTCGTCCACTCCACCAGTGGGACACCCGGGCTGGTCGTCCACTCCACCAGTGGGACACCCGGGTGGTCGTCCACTCCTCCAGTGGGACACCCGGGTGGTCGTCCACTCCACCAGTGGGACACCCGGGCTGGTCGTCCACTCCACCAGTGGGACACCCGGGCTGGTCGTCCACTCCACCAGTGGGACACCCGGGCTGGTCGTCCACTCCACCAGTGGGACACCCGGGCTGGTCGTCCACTCCTCCAGTGAGGGACACCCGGGCTGGTCGTCCACTCCACCAGTGGGACACCCGGGCTGGTCGTCCACTCCACCAGTGAGGGACACCCGGGCTGGTCGTCCACTCCACCAGTGGGACACCCGGGCTGGTCGTCCACTCCACCAGTGGGACACCCGGGCTGGTCGTCCACTCCTCCAGTGGGACACCCGGGCTGGTCGTCCACTCCACCAGTGGGACACCCGGGCTGGTCGTCCACTCCACCAGTGGGACACCCGGGCTGGTCGTCCACTCCACCAGTAGGACACCCCCGGGCTGGTCGTCCACTCCACCAGTGGGACACCCGGGCTGGTCGTCCACTCCACCAGTGGGACACCCGGGCTGGTCGTCCACTCCACCAGTGAGGGACACCCGGGCTGGTCGTCCACTCCTCCAGTGGGACACCCGGGCTGGTCGTCCACTCCACCAGTGGGACACCCGGGCTGGTCGTCCACTCCACCAGTGGGACACCCGGGCTGGTCGTCCACTCCACCAGTGGGACACCCGGGCTGGTCGTCCACTCCACCAGTAGGACACCCGGGCTGGTCGTCCACTCCACCAGTGGGACACCCGGGCTGGTCGTCCACTCCACCAGTGAGGGACACCCGGGCTGGTCGTCCACTCCACCAGTGGGACACCCGGGCTGGTCGTCCACTCCACCAGTGGGACACCCGGGTGGTCGTCCACTCCACCAGTGGGACACCCGGGCTGGTCGTCCACTCCACCAGTGAGGGACACCCGGGCTGGTCGTCCACTCCACCAGTGGGACACCCGGGCTGGTCGTCCACTCCACCAGTGGGACACCCGGGCTGGTCGTCCACTCCTCCAGTGGGACACCCGGGCTGGTCGTCCACTCCACCAGTGAGGGACACCCGGGCTGGTCGTCCACTCCTCCAGTGGGACACCCGGGCTGGTCGTCCACTCCACCAGTGGGACACCCGGGCTGGTCGTCCACTCCTCCAGTGGGACACCCGGGTGGTCGTCCACTCCTCCTCGCACCATTTACATTCGCAAACTTTATTAGCTGGCAATTACTGTTAGGGACAATTACTCCAATTAAAAGCAACATAAAAGCAATGAAGTGGCTTTTGTAGGAAAACATGTGCGCCTTTTGTGAGAGGAAAACCCAGGAGTACTGATATACCCCGGGGGGGGGGGTTATTGGGCGTTATGCTGTTTGGCGGTCACGGGTCGCACCATATGTCACGGGTCGCACCATACGTCACGGGTCGCACCAACGTCACGGGTCGCACCATATGTCACGGGTCGCACCAACGTCACGGGTCGCACCAACGTCACGGGTCGCACCAACGTCACGGGTCGCACCAACGTCACGGGTCGCACCAACGTCACGGGTCGCACCAACGTCACGGGTCGCACCAACGTCACGGGTCGCACCAACGTCACGGGTCGCACCAACGTCACGGGTCGCACCAACGTCACGGGTCGCACCAACGTCACGGTCGCACCCAACGTCACGGGTTGCACCAACGTCACGGGTTGCACCAACGTCACGGGTCGCACCAA